TATGCAACCTAATAAAATTTTTTCGTGAACATAATTAATCCAAGTCCATATTTGCTCGATAAGTTCGGATTTAAGTTCAGTATTACTGATTTCATATCATTTTATGGAACTATTAACATATATGCAAACACCTCCCCCTTTTTTACCATTCAGCCGATCTTTTCTATATACTACATAACCCTCAATATTGACATCTGAAAGAGGAGTATACCATAATTCAGTAACAGCAAAAACATCTGGCTTTTCAACATCAATTAAAGCTCTGAAGTCATTTTTTTTATTCTTTAAAGATGTTGAATTTGTATAGTATAATATCATACTTTTGTTACAATTTAAAAGATGTCTATCATTAGAAATCACTGTTATATTGTTTAAATTTTCATATAGTACATTTTTTGATATTATCTGATGACATGGCTGTGTTGGTTCATATTGCTACTTTTTTAACAGTTTTACAACACGTTCGTTTTTTATTCCATAACAGTATAAATAGTAAATATAGCTAACCAAGACCTAAAGATCTTGGTTAGCTTTATTTAATTTATTACATTCTTCTCTAAAAGCTATCATCTTAAATCTTTCTGCTTCCGTCATGTCTGCATTTACAAAGATAGTATTAGTTTCTGGTGAGTTTTGCAAGTTTTTTGTATTTTTTATTACAGTTTTTCTTTCATATTTGTTAGTTAAGACGATGCCATAGGTTTATGCAATCAAAATAAACTAAATCTAAACTTAATGCAAAATAAAAAAAGTAAAAATTATTGTCTTAAAAAATTCCTAAAAAAAATTTTTAAAGCTTAAACCAGGAGTGTGGAGTCGTAAGAAAAAAGTACCGATTCTGACTCTAATCGATGAAATTTTCAAGGTACGACTCCGACTTCATAGCGAAATTTTTGAAAATTTTTTTGAATTCTTAAAAAATATTACGCAATACTTAAAAAATTGTTTTTTGCCAATTATATGAAATATTCTTTAAAGGTTAAATATTTGTACATGCACGTGCAATACCGAGAAGTTTTACTATTGGAATCGGAGTCGCGATTTTGTTTAGCGACTCCGACTCCGCTAAAAGTTTTGCGACTCCAACTCCACTGGCCTGGCTTGAACTATGCAATTCAGCAAAGTAAAATCTTCTTAGTAAATATTCCAAGATAAGCTTATTTTCAAAGTAAATATTTTTAGATAAACGCATTTATTTTCAAAAATGCAACTTTATGATAATTTACCTTGTATTATATACAGTGGGTGATTAATGTAAATATATATATATATATATATATATATATATATATATATATATATATATATATATATATATATATATATATATATATATATATATATATATATATATATATATATATATATATTTTGAGCAATCTGATTCGCTGATTTTGAAAGAGAGGCAAGTGCGCTTTTGTTGAAAAATAAAAACAACAGATTTTCGAAAAAAATTTCATAGTAACGATTAAGTTTATCACTACAAGTCTTGTGTGAGACTTGTAGTGATAAACTTTCAACAAAGAAATTTTTTTTTTATTTTTTTTAAAAGGTATCAAAATCTATTTGTACCAGAGAATTTTCACTCTTAAAAATTTCAAAGTTTCAATAAAGTTTATCTTGGTGATGGAGGTTTTCTCTGTTGTTAATTTGAAGAAATGGAAAAAAAGTATAATTTAAAAATATCGATAAATGTATTTCTCGCAAAATATGTTCTTGGCCTTAAAGCATACTTAAATACAAAGTTTATATACAGTTGAACAAGACTACTCGTGAAGTACTTTTGCATATAAAGATTATATGCAGTTTTACCAGACTATTGGTAAAGAACTTTATTTAGAAATTGATTTATATGTTAATTATAAAGAGTTGAACATTAGAGTTTTTAAATAAAGAAAATTTGTACTGATTGCAAAACTAGCTTACATGTTCCATGTCAATATATGAGCTTTGAGGAGATTTTGTTTTCATGTTTTGTTTCAACTATAGTTTGGAGGAGAGTGGTTTATTTTTTTATTGTATAACTCTTATAAAACATCGTCTTAAACTTTATGAATAAAATATTATTTAAAAATTTAACAATGAAATTTATGTTTTTCTACTGAACAGTAATTTTTTGTACAGTTACATATAAACAATGAAATTAAAAGCAAGAAAAAATACTGAAGTCAAATATGTTAACCAAATTAAAATTAAAAAAATCAGTTGTGATGCTATGAATATTTTTGTTATAATAAAATATGTTTTGTATGTATAAACTCTTGAAATATTTAACTTGTAACATCACACTTACGAATCTTGTGTGTAATTTTGCAAGATTTCTAAGTGTGTTTCTCGTTAAATGTAATGTCTATGTTCTACAAAGCATGTTCAATACAAAGTTTATGTACAGTTGCACCAGACTAATGGTAAGGTACTTAAAGTATGCAAGGTTGTTTTCAGCCCGTTACAGCATCTTTACACCGTCTTGTTAATTATAAATAGTTAAACATTTAAATTTTTAGAAAAAAATATTTTTTAGAGATATTTTATCAAACTAGCTTACATGTCCTATGTAAATCTACAAACTCTGAAGAAGTTACTGTTTAAACTAAATATTGAGAAGACTTAATTTTAATAAAATATCATCCTTAAACCTTCAAACACTGAAACAAGTTTGGCAGGGTATTTTATATATATATATATATATATATATATATATATATATATATATATATATATATATATATATATATATATATATATATATATATATATATATATATATATAGGATGAAAATTGTATATTAATATTCTATTGGAAAATTAAAAAAAAAAAGTATTATTCATTTATTTTTCTACTAAACAGTTCTTTTGTTCAGTTACATATAAGCGTTGAGTAAAAGAGTATTAAAAAGAATATTAAAGTTAAATAATTTAACAAGAGAGTATTAAAGTTAAATAATTTAACCAAATTAAGGTGAATTTTGGCAATTATTGTGTTAAAAAGAACTTCATCAAAACAAACTTTCACATTTGAAGAAGCAAGTTTTCAGAAAAAATTTATTAATATTATTTCAAGATAAAACACCTCTCTATTTTTAAATTATTATACAAGAGGTATTCCCAGAAATTCAAAAAAAGCACACTTGTTTTATTGGTTATACCAAAGATACATAATAAAACTGTTAATAAAATTTAAAAATATAAAAGATAAATATTTCTGCCTAGAAAAATATTTTTTTTTTTTCATTTTTTTAGAGAAGAGTATGTAAAATAAATTAATAGCATAATAAATAAAAATTTATCAAACTTTGTTGCTTTACTTAATATTATTTACCATCAGTTGCTATTAAAGGGTAAACGTTTTTTACCAATAATAGAATACAATAATCAATATTTTGTTCAGGTTAAAAGCTATATTTCAACAAACTTTAAATGTATTGTCTTTTGAAATTGAAATAAACAACAACATAAACTTGTATGTTTGCAATTTTTCTAGTTTCTACCTTTTTACACCTAGCTCTGTATGTGTGGTAAGTTAAGAGTTATTCCTTTTTGTAATCAGTTTACTATATCAAAACACACTTGCGGACATCAGGTTATAAATTTTTTTCTTATAGCTTATTACGCTACAATGCTTTGTAATCTTTTATTAATATACATTACCAAAGCTAATCTAAATCAGCTCGTGCTTACAATTGCTGAGTGTTGCAAATTATCTGGGCTAGATAACAACCAATAAGCAATATTCTCAAACTTAAAATGTTTTAGTGATGTATACAATTTATATATGGGAGTAATGTGTAAAGTTCTGAAGAAAAATCATTTAATTTTTGAAAAATATTTTTCTTGCTAAATGATAGGATTAATGGGTACTTAATTTGAAAAAAACTTATACCAAATTAATAATATTCTATTGATATTACTTGGTAAATTTTAAAACTGTTTTAAAAAATCAATCGTAGAAGAATCACAGCATAGTCAAGTTTTACCATCTGGTTTATAATTTGTTACAATCGATGTCATTCTTATATTTTAGAGTTGTAAAAACCATAAGGAAAATAAACTAATTTGTTTAAATCTTTAAAAAAATATATGTACTATATTGTACAAAATTGGATAGAAAAATTATATTTTTTGTTATTATTATTTGACAATTACTTACTTTTATTAATCAATACGTTTTTTGACATTTGTTTAGATTTAAACTTACGCGCAAAAGCCTTTCAAAATAAGCGAATCTCTGCCTATTTTGAGTCTGTATAGGGATTCAAAATATGCTATCGGGACCACTTTTACGTACTCAAGCGACTACAAGGGAAACATATGTGAACGTTATGAAAACACCAAATATCGAGACCAAAAATGCATTAAACGCTTTTTCTTAAAGCGTCAGGATTTTTAATATATTTTAAAACATTCTAGAATTATTTAAATTAAAATAAAAAGTTTTCATGATTAAATTTTATTTGCATTGAAGCTTTTGGTGGCTATAAAAATTGGCGAAATCGCAAATAGATATCAGTTCAGTATCATTAAGTCAAACTTCAATTTTTCAGACTCGACTGAAACTTTAAGCAACCGATAAAATTTTTTAAAATAAAGTGTTTTATTCAAAGCTAGATTTAACCTTGTTACTGGATTCATTGGAACACGTGAAATTGCTAGCCACAATTCCCTCATTAACATCATCAAGCTTTCAACAAACAATTTATAACCCTTATATACTAACAATAAAACACATTTTATTAACATTCACTGTAAACAGCAATATAAAACAGTGTCGCATATTTTAAAAGCGTTTTATAGCATTTTCAACATTAAAAATAAAATGTGTTTAACTGTAGGCAAATTCTGTCGGGAGCAAGACGTGTTTTAGACGCCTAAAATACGAACTGACGTATTTTACACGTCTTGTGTTCATTGGAACGTGGGCAACAAGGTGTATTAAAACGTATTGCTATATAATGCCAATTAAGCGTCTTGCGCAACCTTCGAAAATAAATAACTTTAGGTCGTGCGTTTAAAAGAATAAATTATCCCAACTTTATTTACATATGCGTGTCTTGAAATCATACAAATGGAACAAAACAGATTTATTATTTTTAATTTTAATGCAACAAGCTACTTCTTAGCTAACTTCAAGACGATGCCTTTGTGAACCTTTTCTTCATATTCAACTGCCTTTTGGGCATCACTGATCAGTTTCACAGTCCAATTTTTATCAGGGTTTTGATTAACAGGGCTATTTAAGGGCGACGCAGTATGCCTAGAAGACAAGGGAGAACAACGAGGAGAAAAACGAAAAGAATCTGAAAGAGAAGGGTAGCGAAACCAACTTTTTCCACAATCGGAAGTATCAAGTTGCATGCATTCTAAGTCACTAAGAGGAAACTGTCGAATTTTCCAAGAGTCATCGCGTTCACTTTCAGGTACAGGAGTAAGATTTGAAATTTGGGAAATCCTTGTTAACGACGTTGATCCCGAACAAGGCGAATCAACAGGCGTATTTAAGTTCGATTTAAAATAATCTTCAACTGTATGTAATGGAGATGGGGGCTCGGAAAATCCTTCACTTATTCGGTTCGATCGATTACGACGCCCTACTTGAACAAAATTAGTATAACGTTTTTGCTCTAGAGCTTCACAACGATCGTGTCGTTCTTCATATAACTCATCGTCCGTTAATTCAACCTATAAAAGCACAATAAATAACAGTATAAAAGCTGATAATACGTTTTATGAAAAACGTTTTAGTTAAACGTTAAAAATAAAGAAGTTAATTAACATTTAAAAATATAAAATTACTCACATCTTCGTTATTTTCATCATCTTCCTGAAATTCATTAATATTTCTCCATCCTGGGGTTGGTATTTCTTTATACTGGATTCTCTCAAGTCTTGTGGATGCAGCAATCGAATACGGTATAATTATGTTATTTATATCATAATCAACGCTCAAAGAAGGTTTCTTTTTTTGTTTGATAATCATTGACGATTGAGACAAAGGGCTACATTCACTAGTTGGGGTCGAAGGTTTAGAGCTATCGTAGTTTAAGCAATCGGAGATCTTTCGTACTTGACGAATGCGATCTAAAATTTAAAATTAAATTAAATATAAAAAGAAATTGAACACGTGTAATTAACATCGAACTAATTCTTATCAACACTATAAATAAATGTCTCACTTGGTCTAGATAGCTCGTGTGTTGTGGTTAATTTTCGTGAATCATCTGATACTAAACTGTCAATCTTTGGTTCATTTTTCAACTCTATTTCGAGAAATATTACAAAAAAAAAAACATTACAAAAATTAAAAAAAAAAAAAAAAAAAAAAAAAAACACCCGTCAAAATAAACAAATATCTAAATTGAATAAAACTAACTTAAAGCGGGTCTTCTTTGAATCTTGGCTTTTTCGACTGGAACTTCAACGTTCAGTTTAGGAATATTTTTCAGTTTAAATTTTTTCCTAAAACGTATTATTAGTTTAAACGTTAAAATTAACGAAGTTAAATAACATCAAACAAAATATAATTTAACATCATTTAAAAAAAATAATTCATTCGAATTCTCATCTTACTTTATATTACTTATACGTCCAGTTAAATTCATTCTGAAATTCCTATTCAAATACACACACACACACACACACACACACACACACACACACACACACACACACACACACACACACACCATGACGATACTTACTACAGGCCTTCCCGTCGCGAATCCGTATTTTTGACTAGGGGCGGACAATTTTATGGAAAGAAATATTTTAGTTTTAACAAAAATTCGATATGTGAGAAGTTGATTGTTACAATAAATGGTTAAAAAGTGCTGTGTTTCAGGATGTAGAGAAAACCATAACGCTAAAAATAAAGTACGAGTTTTTAGGCTTCGCTCCAATGAAGAGAAAAGAAATCGTTGGATAAATTCAATTCCAAGAAATAATTTTCTAAATAAACTAGATATTGTTGAAAGACATCTTTTTTCCCAGAAATTTTTATAAAAACTATTGTCAATGGAAAAGTTAGACCAGTTGAACTTCATTCAAATTTTCCAAACATTCTACCTAGTGTGCTACCAACTCAAACTTTAAAACCAAGCTCCAGTATTGTCTTCTATCAGAACTGAAAAGCGCGATGAGTTGTCGCAATATTTAAAAAACGATTTCTTTACATTTATTTTTTTATGTGAAGATATTAAAAATCGCAAATTTATTTGTCCTGTAATAACTTTTGTTATAAATGATGTTTTGCACATCCAATCAGATTCCTTTTATGTTAACTGTATACCTATGTTTGCTGTTCTCACATCTCAAGCAATTTTAAATTTGAAAGTGTTCATGCTGGTGTTCGTTATTTTATTTCTTCACTATCAAAAAATCGTATTACATATCTTGATCGCTGGTCAAGAATTGAAGAAATATTTCAGTTCATGAACAACATTAAAATTGATCATCAAAAGTCGGTATTACAAGATCTTATTACATCTATGAATGCATCAGAAGTAGGTAAAAAAATTTATAAAGTAGAAACTATAATCAGATAGTATTGTTATTTCTCAACGTCTCGAAGCTTATACAATCAGGTACAAAAAAATTTTAAACTGCCAAGTGTAAAATCATTAACAAAAACTACATCTATAAGAGAGAATGTTTCAGATATTGACTTTACTAGCAGTATTTTTTCATATTTAGAGGAAAATCATAGATATTGTTTACTTTTGGTGGAGGAAGTCTCTTCTTTATCATGGTGGTTATCTTTATGGAGAAGCAGAAAATAATCCAGAGTTGTTAGCAAATAGTGTTTTGGGTATTATGGTTAAATGTTTAAAAGGTGGACCATCTTTTTTATGCAAAATGATACTTGCCTGGCATTTGTATGTTTCTTTTTTGTTTGAGCAAGTATGCTATGTCATTAATTCGATTAAGTCAATGGAAAAGTAATTTCAGTTATTTGTGATGGCAATTGAACAAATCAAGCATTTTAAAAAATTATTTGAGAGATTTGAAGGAAAACCGTGGTTAACAAAATTTGGTATTTTTCTCCTTTTTGATTATGTTTATCAACTAAAAAATATTAGGAATAACTGGATTGCAGAAAAAATGCAGGAATTGCAATTTGAAAAAGACCGAAGTTTGACTACCAAGTGGAGTGACTTTAAATGTATCTTTGATTTTGAGAAAAATTAGCTAATTAAGTTATAAAGACTAAATTTTGTAGCTATACATCCAAAACTCATTGAAAGACAAAATCACATTGTTTAAGAGTATTTTGCGATGAAACTGCTCTTAAAACTTATTCAAAAGTTATCCACCCTTGCAATATGAATGAAACCATTTGTTTTTTAGAAAGTTACTAAATTTTGGAAAATTGTAAGCGTAAAAGAAATTTATGGTGATATGCAATTTTTAGATTCTCGTAAGAAAGTTATTTCTGAAGAATTAGACATAAATTTACAGTACTTACTTGACTTTGGAGATATGGCATTTAAAATGAGTAGTGAACCAGGTCATAGACTGAAATCTATAACTTATTTTTTTGTTTCAATATTTTTGAAATTGATAAAAACAAAATGTGCAGAAAGTCATTGTGTAATACTTTTATGATGATATCTGATATTTATAACTTTAATATGTTAAAGAAATATGGTACAATATTATCAAAACATATTTCTTAAAAATTATTGTTTGCTTTTTTCACCCAAGTCCAATAAGGAACCTGCATTGAAGGTTTTAAAGTTATCTGTATAACATACAAAATTATTATGTACATTTTTTTATAACATTGATTTATATTTTGATGCTTTTTTTTCCTATTTTTTTCTTTGAATTATTTTAAAAATTGTTTTTTTTTTTGTAATTTAGATTTTAAATAATTACTCATTAAAACCAATAAAAACTCATTATTCTGAAAAATATTGTATTTTATTCTTTTTTTCAAACTGTTTCATTTAAATTTGATGATATTTAATAAACACTGCAATAGACATTTTTTTCCATTAATACAGTACTTTTAAAATTTAGTAAACTAACTAAAAATAATGGATTAGTTTGCAAACTTTTTTAGCCATTTTTTATATTTTTTATAACTTTGTCCACCCCTAGTCAAAAATACGGATTCATGACGGGAAGGCCTGTACTAAGTATCGCCATGACTCACACACATTTATCCATTAAAATTTAATTTCAAATTCTGGTTTCAGCATAACTAGGTTTCAGACTATTGTAATTGTAAAAATTAAATACAAGAACAATACACTACATTGATATTGTATTGTAATGCCAGAAAAGCAATAAAAACATTTATTGGTATTGTATTGCTTTGATAAAATCCAATTACAATAACTATTGTATTGTAGTACTATTATATTGTTTAAAAGCTATTATATTTTAATATTTTTACATTTCTTTTCCCACAAATTCACTATTATACTAAAAATTTAAATAAAGTCAAGTGAAGAAATATATAAATAATGCAGTAGTGGTGTAGTGGTAAAGAGCTTGCTTCATAAATGAGTGATTCCGAGTTCGATCCCCACCACGTCCCTGGTAGTACCGTGCTCAACTCATTTCTCTGCGCAGCGGCCTTGTTCATCAAGGTTCGTGTTTCGGAGTTATAGAGTTGAGAGAGGGTTATAACCACAAATAAGTAGCCTCCTCGGCTTTGAGGAGGTGAATTAAGTAAAATATATATATATATATATATATATATATATATATTAGGTGTATTTAAAAACTATTCAGGTTCACCCATGGCACTCGTTTTTAGCAACCATTTACTTTATTTTTAAATCAATAATATAACTGTTTAAAAAATAATTTATTTTTTAATTAATTTAATAAATTATTAAGAATTAACATTATTTTTTTAACATTGAGGTGGTATCCAGCCATTAACTCTATTTTTTTATATTTTACACATAATAAATACCTATGATGAATTACTAGCATAATAGATAAAAATCTAAAACGTAATGCAATTTTTTTTTTTAATTAATAAAGTTTTTATAGTCTAAGCTTAGCTTTTACATCTTTAAATTCTTTTTTTTTTAGCTTCTTTCTAAACTGCTTTCATAGGGGTTCCTGCCATGATTATGGAGTGTTGCTTTCTGTTATTGCGATCATCTTTATTATCTGTTGACAAAGATAGAAGGGGTGACAAATATTCCATAACTTAATGATATAAAAAACTATTTTTAGCGATAAAACACTAATTAGATATGGTAATTGTAGGTTAAGCTTAATTTTTTTTAATGTTTTTTCAGGTTCAGGCACTAAAAACATCAATAATGAACATATCCTGAAAATTTGAAGCTAAAATAATGTTTTTTTATTGAGATATCATTGTTTTGCTACAGCTACCCGTACAAAAAACAAAAATTTAGAAAAATCAATTTTAAAATTATAAATCATGTATACTACTCAGATAAATCATTAAAAACCACCAGCACAATAACCTTTTGCAGTTTCTTTATATAATTTTTGTCCAAAATAGTTTCTTCTAACAGATCTTAATTTTTTTCTCTTTTTTTTTTGCTTCATCTGACATTTTATTGTTCATATTTTTTAGCCGTATAGAGTTTTTTTTACTTGCACCAATTTCAAAGTAACTACCAGATTTAATATTAAGAGCATCAAATACAGAAGATAACTTAGTAAAACCATCATTATAAGTTATGGTTGCAGAGTAAACAGCCATTTCAACAACAACTTTAGAGGTGAATATAGTTTTAGGGGATCGGTTCCAAATTAGTTGATTAAACGCTTCATTTCCATTTTGAGTCATGCCATGCAAACATTTTGCAAGCATATCAGTATTTGCTAGATCTTGACATACTGGCTTGATCTTTTCCATAATGGCAACGGGTAAACTCACCTTTTTATTGTATGTAACATGACCAGTTGCTCTATCAGACTGCCATTTACACCAGCTTTTTTCACCCTTGGTGCAAAACATACGACGATATTCTTCAGAGGTAAAATTAGTGCAATGATGAAGTGAAGCTATTACAGAGTTCCTCATTTCCAAAAAACTATTTGAATTTTGTCGAATAGCCATTCCAACATAATTTTGCAAGATGTTAATTACTTTATCCGTGAGACGACCTTTACCAGACATACCTTTTCCGTCAGATAGTTTTACCCGTCATAATTCTTTTCTTTTAAGACGCAGTCGATTCCCTGTACGCTTCTGGTAATGCCTAATACATTCTAGTTTTATTGGAACAAGGTCATCACCATAAGGTTTTTGTGCAATAACTGTGCTAATCGAGGTAGTGTCTCTATCTCCGAGATATTTAGAATAGCGAATGTTATATTTATTTACTGAAGAGCAAAATATTTCTGTTGCACCAGCTGACTCCATCGCACCAGCTGATTTAGTGTGGTTTACTTGGCAGGAATGATTAACTTTCCACTGCTCATATTTGAGTGTCCCTTTTTTTCCTTCCCAAATTTGACATCCTTTACAAAACTTAGATAATATAACAGTATCCAATACTTTGTTGTTGTCGTGAGACGTTGCTACCACAACACCGTTTAAAGAAAAATATTCTCTCCGCTGCCAGGTACCATCAATAGAAATACCACAATCAATAACATCATTCATATTAGAGTCAGGTTTCAGTATTCTCCTAACTTCCATAGCAGCATTTTTCATACTTTGCTCAGCAACTGATTTATAAGCATCGTAAAGTTTGCTATTAATACAGTCAAAACTAGGTTTTGATAAAGGTGGTGGCATGTTCATTATGGAGGTAAAAGTTAACATTGCATCTCTGCCTCTGCCAATCTCCCTGAATTCCATAACACTGCGTACATTAATTTCACTTGTATTTATACCAGGTTTATTGTTTTTGACAACAGGAGAAGAAAAAAATGTATCTTTAAAAGCACAACCACTGCAATAAATTTGAAAAAACAAAGAAAAACCCAAGTGTCTTGAATGATCATGCAACATGGAAAGCTTTGTACCACATATATTACAAGTAGCATACTTTTCAAAACAACTTTTCATTTGTTTAAAATGCATAAAAAATATAAATTTGTCGTTATCAAATAATGTTTTTTCAAGATTATTTTTTAGCTTTTTACTACTTGTAGAACTTCCTGTGTTTGTATCAAATTGCTTATTGGTATTATTGGAATTATTATGCTGATTGCCGTTAAACTTTCTTTTCCTTGGTCTTATTATTCTTTTTTTTGGCCATAATATACTTTTCAACAACTTTTTAACTGTAATAGGTAAGATATAAAAATTAAAAGTGTAAAGCACTATTTCATCTGAATTCAAAAAGGCAACAACACCATGTTAAACCGTTAAAAATAGCAATGTAACTTAGATTTATGACATTTAGACCAATATAAACTTAAAACATTAAAAAAAGAATAGTTACAGGTCTAATTTTCAGAGACTAACTTATAGGCTAAAACGGTTGCTATGGTCGTTGCTATGTGATATGAAAATACCTTGATGTGTTTGAGAAGAATATTCTTGATATTCTAACATTATTTTTGAAAAAATATTTTTTCTATTGATTTCTACAATGTTCAGTTGTATGAAGAACATTTTTTCAAAATTTTCATTTTTTTTTTATTTTTCACCAAAATAATGGCTGGATACCACCTTAATAAACATTTAATTCAGGTTCACCTGTGGCACCCATTTTTTAGCAACCATTGGTATAAGATTACTAGATCTATCCAACAACATCTGTAGAGTAGTCAAGATCATCTGTTTTTTATACTCCAACAATATTTGTTCAATATCTTACAGTATTTTTAGGAAAATGTAACTACATCAGGTAATTTTTCTCTAAGTTCAATAAAATCTGGAAGTAAGGTTTCCAAAAAACTGCATTTATAAAAAACTGCGGTTTCAGTTTTAATAAAAAAAAACCTGTGGTTAACCGTCATTTTCAGTTTTTTTTTATTAAATAATAAACTCATGTAAGTTTATCTTACATTATTAAAAACGTTATAAAAACAATGTATTCTAACAATATGTTTATATTTTAAAGTAAAACTTAAATAACTTATTTTTATTGTAAAAATATTTCAAGAAAACTAAAGATTTTAACGAATCAAATAATTTTGATCCAGTTTTTGCGCTGAAACTAACGCAGCTCAAAAAAATGCATTCAACATTTGTTGAGGTGGGCTTTTTAGAGAATATCGCATTGTAAATTTTTTCAAGACTTTCTGTTCTTTTGGCCAGTATTTTGGTACAAGAAAAACTTTTGCCTTAGCCATATGAATTGATTAGTAGATTTAGGCAATTGTGTGATGCTATCTTTATTGAGAACAACTGTTGGATATTTTAGGCATCTTAATAACTGCATAACATTTCTGTTAATTCTTTCACACACTTTTTTAAATTTGAATGCAATAAAAATGCGATTTCTGTGTTCATAGCAAATTGTTTTGCAAGCATGAAATCGAGAAAAGTATCTGCTGTCAATAACGTTGCATCTTCTCTGTTAAAGAATCCCACTGCTAGTTTTGCTGGCTCTAAAGTGCCATGTAGTGAAGCTAATGACTCAAATCTAGCTTGTTGATTACATCAAGAGTATTTAATTTAGTAAATGTCTGGAATAAACATTTATTAGTGTTTAACAATTGCTCAGTCATTGAAAAAATGAATTTCAACAATATTGAACATCCAGATGCAGTATGATTTCTTTACCGAATTCCTCAGTAACTTTCTTATAAAAATTTGATTATGAACAGATGACTACTATTATTTAATTGTTTACTGGTTCAAAACTAAAATTATCATAGTAAATTCCATATTCATCATCTTCTGAGGATCAATCTATGATTCCTTGGAAACTGGTATGCTTGTGTCTATTTTTCTTGTAGTGTGTCGCATACACCAGGATGAATGGCATGATCAACAATTTTCATTAATATTTTTAATATAAATAATTTCTCAATATTTCGTATTAAATTTTCAGCTGAACAGGAACCATAAATCCTAATAAAGCCAGTTTTATAGGTTTTCTTACATTCGCTTTCATGCAGGTTGATAACAATGATTCTGTGTCTCAAAGATGTGTATTCATCATGCATTAAGCTGAATTTATATCCCATTTGAACTTTTTTGATAATTTTTTGCTTCATCACTTTCTGTTTATGAGAAAAATCTTGATGGATTAAATTCATCACAGTTGTTGGACTTTTAGGAAGATGAACTCCTCTTTGTTGAATTGATGAGCAAATAAATTTTTTGTTAGTTATCAAGTTAATTGAACACGATCTGTAGCTAGATCAGCTACAATTTCTTTTTTTGTAACTGCCCATGATTTTTTTTTTCCGATGGTTAATTTGAGCTGCTGCTTGATTCTCCAGTCGAAGGACTATTGATAGTAATTTCATGACGTGAAATTCCGAATAGTAACTGTGGATCCACTGGAGCATGTTACAACAGAACCCCATCTATTATTGATACTTTCAACATCTTTTGAATTAGGAATTTTAAGCTGGGCAGCAAATTTTTATACTGATGACATGACTTATCTGGAAGATATATTTTCAAAAAATAATTGATAGAAACATCATTTATTTTATTACATACATTGATATACATTAATATTTTGTGCAACTAAAATAAACACTAAAAATATCCTCATGTTTTTTAAGGAATAAAAATCTTTAATATAAAGAATCATCCTATTTGAGTATTCAAAAAAAGCTTTCCAGCAAAATACAATCTAAATAATAAAATAAAAATGTAATTACTTCCTTATTTGTTTATTTTAAATATCTTACCATAATAAATAAACATTCAAAAGAAATTATACAAAAAAAAACGCCAAAACTGTTTTAGATAAACCAACAGTTTTCATCTATATCAGTTTTGATAAAAAAACAGCAGCATATACCTGATGTTGTTATTAGACATAGCAATACCTGATATATACCTGATGTTGTTATTAGACATATACCTGATGTTGTTATTAGACATATACTTGATGCTGTATTAGACATAGCAAAAACTGATGTTGCTACCCTGACCCCAACCATTTACTTGTATAAATTTATTTTGAGATCAATAACACAACTGTTTAAAAGAATAATTCATTTAGAATTAACATTAATCATATTCATTCAAAATCATACAAATATATTATTTATTATATATATGTAATTAATCAAATAATTATTCCCTGAAATGGGAACTTTTTGTTTTTTTAAAAGTATGTCTAAACTGATATTAAAATATTTCACCAGATGATGAGGTTTAAAAATTTATTTTTATTATAATAAACCGTAAATGAGTAATAAATTACAGCGCTACAGAAGGAAATCATTGACCTGGGTAATTATAAGATTGTTTAATCAAGTGAACTTGCAAAAAAACAAAGAACAGTTGCTACATAAAGGGGCTTGATTGAATTAAAAACAGTACAGGCAAGCTTTACTTGCTTTGTATTCCTAAAAATGTCTGAACAAAATTTACTGTTACTGAATTGAAACATAACATTTTTTAAGATACTGTATTATAAATATATAGATATTGTATTATAAAGATGAATTACAACACAATATTTATTGTTTTTGCATCACTGTATTACAATCAATATATAATAATGCTATATATATATATATATATATATATATATATATATATATATATATATATATATATATATATATATATATATATATATATATATATATATATAAATATAAATCGTAGAGATTGTTTCTGGAAAAAAATTAATAGAAAAAAAATAGTTCCTATTATCATTACAATTACAATAGTCCGAACACTTTATATAACGTTTTTTTGAATGTACAGAATATTAACAATTTTCATAAAATAAAAGTATATAAACATCAATAAACCTAAAATGTTTTATTTTAAATTGCTATACCTTAAAATAAACAATAAATCATCAAACAAATAGTAAACAAAACAATTCTTACTTTTTTTTTATTGCTTTTGATATTTTTACTTTGGTATTAAGTTTTTGCATTCGCATAGTTTCTTCAAGCTTATAGGATAGACAAATATCTGTATAAAAGAATATTTATTGTAATACATGATCTTGATGTAGTTATCCTTAATATGTCTTATTACAATAAACAATTTGCTCACAATAACCTTTTGATTTCAAAACATTTTACTTTTATTTAAGTGTGGTTGTGCTCATCATTGCACAGAAATTATGTTTACTGGACAAAATTAATAGCTCATATATCAGGCTTTCACAGGAAGATGTGTGATTTCACGTCTTTATATGATCATGCAAGTTACATTTTGCTACGACGGTTTGACCGCGGCTAATTCAAAAAACATTTTAGAAACGCGCTAAATAAAAAATATTCTAAAAAAGTGAAATTAATTACTTCAAAACATCTTAACAAATGTTTTTATATTAGCGAAACGATCTTAAATAAAGTAACAATTTACTGAAAAACAGTTTTGTTTTTTAAATATAATTGACAGTTGTATATATTTTTTTAATTTAAAACATATAAATTGTTAAAGTATTCATTTCTAAAATAAATCTTATTAAAAAATAAAAAATTGTAATGTTTTTATAAACGATGACATTCTACGACTACGAAAATCTCTTTAACGAATTTAAATATAAAAATGATTAAAGTTAATGCAATTAATAAGATAAACAAAATTTTGTTAAAAAAAAAAGTTTTAGAAAACCGTTACAATTTAATAAGTTTGATCTTAAATGCTTTTATATTATCAAAATGCTTTTAATGAAGTAAAAAAAAAAACACTTCTAATTAATTTAAAAAAAAGTATTTATAAAATGTTTTTTTATTTTATTTATGTAACTATGTATTTTTTATGAGAAACATTTAACTTTTGAACATATTAAACAAATAAAAAATGTATTAAAATGTTGAAACAAAAATTGAAAAGGTTTTTTAATGCGTAAATTTAATAGACTAACCATTTTAGTTTGACGAGTTTTGTTTTAGTTGCGTTATATATATATATATTTTTTGTGTTTTTGCTTAAACTAGGTATTTTTTTTATTTTCTCTTTCGTTAATATTTGTTTTTTAAAATTTTTTTTTCATATAAGTTTAGGTAAGTTTTTGTAGCGCATTTTTAAATTTTAAAAATATGCCATGGTCAAATCGTTAAAACATTTTTTTTTTGCGTGGTCATATAAAGACATGAAATCGCACGTCTTCCTGTGAAAGCCTGTATATAGAAGAATTAAAAATAATTTATAGCCTATTTGAGGATTGTAATGGTTTCCTTAATTTAGATTACAATTGATTTTTGATTATGCTTAGCAACCAAACAAATTTTAAAGTTACATGGAGATAAATAAATTTTGAATCAACTTTTTTCTGATTTTAACCCACCTATTTTATATAACAACTAACCCTTTAGGTAATTCTTTAGCGAAAATAAAAAAAAGCAAAACATTGAAAATTTGAAATTGCATTAAAACAATACTGCGCAAAGATTGTTTTTTTGATAATTATAAAAAATCTAAAAAATATGTCATGATTTGTTCAAGCATGATCTTAATAACAAAATGATAAAATAACAGGGTCACAAGAAACAAGGAGTTTATTGATCAGATCAGTATTAGTTGCTCTTTTGAATGTTTCCTGGAAGAAATTTTTGTGATAAGTTTCAAAATTTTTTATTTCTTGCCAAGTTTCTGGAGTCATAAATCCAATTGGTAATGTTTGTTGTTGAATTGTCCATATATCAATACTATGTGCACAGATTGAGCCATGTAATACTATTGATTAATGGATTAATTGCTTGTTCTAGAATAAACACTTTTTGGGGAATAATTAACAAGTCTCATTTTGTTCATTAAAGTCAATCTAAATTTTCTTCTTAGCCACAGACACTTTTTTTTGTATTATTTAGATCTTGCTTGCAACTAACATGTTTCTTTTTTATACACAATTTAAAAAATCATCTTAAAAATCAAATTCAGGCATGAAGCCTAATTAGAGAAAGAAGAGTTTGGAAAACAACAATAGACCAGGGTGGTAGAGGAGGTAGGGAAAACATTAGGGGAGAACAAATGCAACCAACAGCAAACCCAATCAAAAACCTCACTGTAAGTGAGGCTTTTGATTTATTTTTTTTTGCAGAAATAAAAGAGCGGATACTTGAAGTAATTAAGAAGATCCAATGTGCATTAAAGCTGCATTTATTTTATAGTCAACTTTATTGTCAAAATTGAAAAGGTTATCACAAAGTTCAAGAGATTCAATAACAAGAAAACTGTAAAGTGTAATTATATTTAATGGTTGTTAACGATTGATTTGCGTTAATTGTAAATAGTTGTATATAATATCAAGTCATAGTTTTAAATACCAAGAGAATATGATCGTATATAAATTATGTTGAATTGCATTAGAAAAGATGAGGCGTTTTAACGCTTATTTTACAAAGTTAATTTTGATGTGAAACTACAAGCTATTTCGGCGAAAATGTTCACTAAAGTTGATTTAAAGTTAATTCCGGAGTTTAGTGGAAACGATCAACATTCAGTTGCATACTGAAAAACATGAATGCAATAAGCCAGCAGCTTTCAGAGACATGGAAGAAGTTTCTTATGTTTGATTCACAAGCAGTTCCAAAATGTTGGTGAGTGTCTTTTTAAGTTTACCTGCTAAAAAAACCCTGACAAATCGTATTCCTGACAAAGCACTTGAACATTAACTTGTTCAAGTGCTTGCTATTTTTATAATTAAAAGATTAAATCTGATCCACTAACAGCATGCTGGCCCCAGAGGCTATACATTAATCCTGCATAGACACATCGCTATTTATCTTAGAAGTATCTTATTGAATTTTTTTACTTTAATACATTCTGAATTGATTTACAAACAATATTTTTTTGCTTTATTTTTTATTTTACAAGTTAAATTCTTTAACAAATTGTAGATTTGAAGTGCTAAACTTATAGTGTTAGCATAATATTAGTATTTTGCCTAATAAATGCAACCGTTTGTAGCATTGGCCACAAGACAAAGACAGTATTGGAAAAATTGATTGCACCTCACTTAAATCGCTTAATATATCTATCATAATATAAGTAAAATACTTATTTAATTACGTTGAACTTAAATGAACTAAAAAGTTAGCTAACTATAAGAAATAATTGCTTTTAACTTTAAATTTCTAATGAAAAATAGTCATTGATAAAACTTTAATTAAATTAGTCTAATTATTTTTTTCATAAACAAAAATTAAAAACAAAATTATGTTTTGTATTTTTGTAATGTTTTAAAATACAAATAGCTTGATTGAACTTTATAATTGTTATTATTGCACTATTGTTATTTTAAAAGTAGTTAAACATTTGTTTATTTCAAGGAGTCTTCGCGCACACCAAAGTAAATTTAAAAAAAACTCTACAACATTTTGCCCCAAGCCAGTGGTCTACCCTCATGGTCATGTTTTTTATAGCTTTTCCCTAACAAACTTATAATAATTTGCTCCTTAAAAACAAAGTACACAGCTTTGCATAAGCTAAAATTTTAAAAATATCATTAATTGCATCTGAGAAGAAATACAAAAAAAAAATTTTTTTTACAAGACTACGGATTATTATGGTGAACAACTCAAATGAGAAATTAAAACTGTTTCAGTCGCCCGCAGGCTGACTAGGAAAAAATTGGAGGGTAAACCATTGTAAGCAAGGTTGAAAAAGAACGGAGAAAAATTTAAATATAAAAGTTATATTAACATTTACATAAACTACAATATATATGAAAATACAAGAATTATCAGGGTAGAAACTGGAATTGTTCAGGATCCTGCTGCATAAGTATTTATATATTTTAAATAGTATTCAGATTTACCATGAAACAGGCCTTGCTATGATTTTTTGTTGCATAATGGAAAAGCAAAAACGCAAGTAAATGTAACTTTACTCAATAAACATTTAAATTATTAACAGTTAACAGTTAGATTACATCAGTTGCGTATTTTAAAGTACCGCATTGTTAATAATTTAATTTGAAACCACATTAAAAATCGTTGCAAGTTTTTTTCTTTATAAAGTATCTTTAAATTAAACAGTATTGTTATAAAAAAATTATTAATACAATTTCAATGTTGTTTGAAAAAAAAATATTAAAAAACTTATACTTATTTAAACTTATTTTTTTTCTCTTTAAAATTCGTATTATATTTTTTTATTGAGGGGGAATTGTTTATGGTTGAATTTTTTAACGGTCAAAAAATAAATAAAAACTATCAACACGTTTTTTTAACATTTTGGCTTAAACAAAATCTTTGCATACTACTCATAAACTAGTTAACCATTTATGATAGATGTTCATTCTATAATCAATTTGAAAAATTAACGATAAAAGAAAAAATTTTCCTTCAAAAAAAAAAAATCATCTTTTTATAAATTTGTTATATAAAATTAAATAAAATTACGTTAATTTATTTATTTCATTTATTAAAAATTTATTATTTTATTAACTATTTTTTGTGAAAGCAAAGATTATTATTCCAAACATCATTTAAAATTTTATTGCTGTATATCTATCGTTTATTAAAAAATGATTGCTGTGATTTAACTGGCGTTAAATTGCAGCAATTATTTTTTAATAAACTTATTTAAATCGATACAGGTTTTTTCAAAAAAATTAAAATAACTTTAACTATAAGTTATTCTTCATTTTCCCTCTTCGTTTATTTAATTTGCACAAAACCTAAGTTTAACTTAAGGGTTTGTGCAAATTTTTGATACAGTCGTTTATCTAAAATTTACTTTTGAGTAAAAAAAAAAAATGCTTAGGAAGGAAAACTGAAAAAACAATTGAAATAAAAATGAGCTAATTTTTTTTAATGAAAAAATAAAATTTAAATATTGAATAATATTTAGCAATATTTTTAAATAAATTTGACAGTCAAGTTAAACCCAAGCATTGACTTTAATTTTAATAAATTTAAATATATTTTTTAAATCAAAATTAAATTACATATTTTTTAATTTACATATATTTTTTATCAGAATAAAATTATATCTTTATTAAATAAGTTTTGAATTAAATTTTATACTTTTTATCTGAATTAAGTTATATTATTATGAAATCTTCAAGCTGAAAATACTAGCATTTTTCAATCAATCATTACAATAAAATAAAAACAAAATAAATTTTTAATTTTTTTTGAGTTTTTTTTATTAGTAAATAGCGCTATATAAATAATAAATATATATAAATAGCATATATAAATAATATATATATATATATATATATATATATATATATATATATATATATATATATATATAGCATACAATATATATAAAAAGATATAATAGCATATAATATATATAATATAACAGCATGCAGAAAAAATATAAATAATAGCAAGCAGAAAAAATATAATAGCACATAAAATATAATAGTGATATAATAGCAAAATAAAAATATAATAGCAAATAAAATAATAGCAAGCAGAAAAAATAGAATAACATATAATATATATAAAAATATATATAAATAGCATATATAAATTAATAAATTATTCAAATAATAAGCACTATTATCTAATGAAATACAAATTTTTGTAACAAATATTTTTACACAAACATTTAAAAGTTAATGTATTTTTAAAAAAATTATTACTTCTGTTATCTTACCGTTTATAGAATTTAAAAATTAAAAAAAATGATAAAATGTTGCTTAAGCAAAATCACTAAAAGCGTACGTAAATTGCTCTACGCTTAATGTTTTAAAACAAGGCCTGTATTATGAAACTTTTTTTTTTTTTAAATATTGATTCAAACTATTTGATATTTTTATTTATGTATATTATATTTATTGTATTATTTTTAATTAAAACACCAAAAAAGTTTACCAGCTGGAAGAGAGAGTATAGAATGATAGCTATGATCAAGTTGCACAGCATTTAAATTAACTTTGTTTTGAGACTGCACTAAAAATGATTCACATAGATGACAAGGAACAAGATTCTCAGAGTTATGACACTGCACAGCAGTATCAGAATATGATCCAGTGTCTTTCTTGACATAGCTATGTTTGTAATGACTACTAACTGGTAACGTCCTTCGACTACCTTCATAATTAAATAGGTCGTTTGAAACATTTTTGCCAGTATTTTGATTTAAAGAAAGTCTTTTTTGCTTCAACTTTATATGATTTTTATTTAAAATGTCTATCTTCTCATCAAGCAAAGGAATTTTTAAATTTAACCATGAACATTGTGAACCAAGTTTTACTTGCTTACACCTCCATTTGTAAAGCTCTTCTGGAGAAGGCGGCACACTAAAAAACAAAAATATTGAAGTATGTTCCCAAAGTGTTGCAGAAACATATCAATAGAAAGAAATTATAAACAGAAACTAAAAAAAGAAGATATAAATAGCGTTGCATGAAGTATGCAAGTATATAAGTACACACATAGACAGAGGCTATTGACCATTGACCATTTTCAAAAGCATTAACTGTATTATATTTATATTTTTATAAATGTATTTGGGCACTTCCTAAAACCCAATATAAACTACTCAACATAATTTATACTAATATCTCTGAAATAACTTAGCAATGTTTAACCCTTACCCTGACCAAATCTTATTGCATTATTAATGCATATGACTAAATTTCCATTTAGTCATATGCATACAGATTTTATTTTAAGTCATTGATTCTTTTAACAACAAATTATGTCATTTTTAATTACTTTGATTTTGCAAGAAGTGCCACTACTTGGGGCAGTCTTTTTTTTAAAAAAAAAGAGGGCATTTTTTTTCTGTATCTACAGATTATGGAAAAAACTTTTAGACTACCTATTGTATAAAACCTGTTTTAAATAAAAAATACTTTAGCTCAATATGAATTTGACGTCATAAAACTCTTTTTTTATTTATTTATAGATATTAACTTTTTACACTACCACAATAAATTAAAGCAAAACAAGTTTAATTAAAAAATGAACTCTATTATGTAAATATATTATGGAATAATTTTGTTATTATTTTATTAGTATCTAAAATATTACTTTATTTTTTTTAATTTTTAATACAAACTAATTTCTTTTCTCAAAATTTATATAAATGAATTACAAGATGTTAAACCTTTTTTTATTTTTATTTCTTAAATTTACAACTGCGGCTTTGCAACTAATAATATTTTTTGCTTTTAAAAAGTGAATGAGTGACTATAACAAAACATTGAAAAATTAAAAACTCTATTTACAAGCCATTTTGTTGCGAAAGCAAAATATATTTAAGCCACCACAAATGGCTATTTAAGTATTTCATTAAGTATGACACTTTTTAACAATTATTATGACCTTTCAATTAGGTTAAATATGCAAAGATATTTCTGTGTGTGTGTGTGTGTGTGTGTGTGTGCGTGTGTTTATACGTGAGAGAGTATGTATGTATGTATGTATGTATGTATGTATGTATGTGTGTATGTATGTATGTATGTATGTATGTGTATGTATGTATATATATATATACATATATATATATATATATATATATATATATATATATATATATATATATATATATATATATATATATATATATATATATGTATATATTCAATATATAATACATATAATATAATACCAATAAATGAGTTCTATATAATTGCTATACAATACTTTAATACTCTAAATAGTAATATGCAATTTAAATGCTTTTTAAAAACACCACAGTCATGACACAGCAGTTAGAGTTCTGGCTCAGAACCATAAGGTCCAAGGTTTGATGTCAACTTTAGTAAAAATTGGTATTGTTAATGAACTAGGTGTGAACTTCCTCATTAAAAGTACTTATGTGGTGCTTTGTGATCAGACAGTAAGGACTTATTGGAGAACCAGATCAAAAAATTTACTTTATTAATTAACGGAATCAGAATTTAGTTTGACTCCACTAATATAGTAAATATCTTTTACTAACTTTATTAAAATCTGAATAAAACAAACTATTAGTAAAGTGACATAGATTAAATTATTGCACCCACACAACAAATACAAAACATATCTTTAAAATGCACAAAAATATAAAAATATTTTATGAATGTCCTTTGCATGTATTGTGCTATCTTGAAAATGTCTAACGGTTTGATCCATTTAATTTTTTTGTTTTGAATTATTTCTGTATATAATATTATTAGTAAAATTGAAGAGTTTTATTATTATTATTTTTTTTGTAATGTAAATTCACCTCCTTGAGGCCGAGAAGACCACACATGAGGAGGCTATTTCGCTACGCTTATACCCCCTCTTAACATTGAAACACGAACCTTGATGAAGAAGGCTGTTGCATGGAGAAACAAGTTAAGTGCGGTACTACTAGGGATGTAGTGGGGATCAAACTCAGAACCTCTTGCTGAGGAAGCAAGCGCTCTACCTCGACACCACTACTGAATATGTACATAATTTACTATTCACATAAATATTTTAATTTTAAATTAAAATATATATAAAAGATAAAACTAAATATGGAACTATATTATTGTAAAATATGTTATTTTTCTTAAATAAAAAGTTTTATACATGAAAAAAATTAATCCACATTAATATAAGAAACAAATTTACACTTTAAGCCATTTTTTGCCATTGCATAATTTGTCTCAGTCATTGTTATAATAAAATAATTATCATATTCATTAAAATAACATCTACTTACATTTATATAAACTATATAAAAAGGTTTACTTTAAAAAAAAAAAAAGGTTGCTATTCATTATTCAAATACAAGTGTTATAAACGGGTACATATAAACAACTTTATTTTAAAAATATGCTTTCTTTTTATCACCTGAAAAAAATACCTATTTTAAAAGTCCATTTACTTAATCAGCTCAAAAAATGTGCTTTAGCATGCCATAATAAACAAAGTAGACTAAACATCATTATTGAAAATATAAATTTGTAATTAAATTTAAAGATAAAAAACTATAATGTTATTAACCTTTTGCAATTTTCAAGTGTTGATGATTTTAATTATTATAATCATATGATAAAAAATATGCCATGTTAAAATAAACAAAAATATATGACTTGTAAATTTAACCTTAAATAATAGAGGAATCCATAAACATTAATTTTGGTATTAAAGAAGATATACCCTTCTGCATTATCAGAATACATAAAATGTAGTAGGATTTATTGAGTTATTATTAACTATTCTTTCAAGACATTTAGATCCTTGTTTTGTTTTCACCTGCTTATTATCTCTAGTCCAGGACCAAAATTATCAAACCAGGACCAAATTACCAAATCCGGGACCAAAATTATCAACTAATCTAGGACCAAAGTTATCAAAAAATTATTAATAACAATAGTACTTACTTCTACCTATTTTTTTAAAAACTACTTTCAAATATAACTAATATCAGGCCTTGCGATAAAGCGTCGAGCGATGTGAATTTTACGTCGTCCAAGAGCGATTTTGCGTGTAGCTAGGGCTATTTGCGTCGAGCAAAAAATTTTTTGTTTGAGTATATTTGAAGATATTTTTGAGCAGAATTATAATGAAGTAATTTACGATTCTTTTAACATTTAATAAAGTATTTTAAAAACCGCACGCAGTTGATATAAAAGTTTGAATTAAAAAAAAAATTATGCTCATTATTTACAAGTAGAAAAAATTCAGATTAAAAAAAAAGTTTAAATCTTTTAAGCTAACATTTTGATAAAATTATTCAGCAATAGCAAAGTTGTCGATAAAATTGAACAAAAATACTTTCTTCTAGTTTAAGATTTTTAACTTAAATAATTATTTTACGGGGGCTTGTTAGGTTTTAAAATTATTCCATAGATTTAAAAATATTTATTAACTGTTAGAAGTATTTAAAGTATTTAAGAGTAATTTCGAGGAAACATTTTAAAAATTGGTGAGCGCAAATAAAAAAAAAATAATAATAAGGATTAATATTAAAACGTATTTTACTTGATTCAATAAAAAAGTACAGTTATTAAAATTTTTGTAAAAAGTAACTCAAAAAAATTACTTAAATAATAACGATCACTTTTATGTTAAAAGTTACCAAAACTCAACGAAGCGTGCTCAAGAACAGCTGCTGAAAATTAGAACGTCAATAGTTTTTCGAATAGTTTTTCGAATAATTTTTAATAATAATTTTTAAGAATGATTTTTTTTGCTGAAATATTTCTTTTATACCTATAAGATTTTTATTCTAACATTTTCTTTTATTTTATTTTACCAAAAATAAAATTCCTTGTAAACATAAAAAATCTACTCAAAACGTTTGTTTAAGTTTTTTATTAATACGAGTGATTGTGCTTATCAACCGCCTTATGAAAATAAATAAAAATAAATAAATAAATATTATATAAAATCGCTGGTAAAAATATTAGCTATTGCACAGTTTTTAATTGTACAATATTAAAATTTCCAGTTTATTACTCGCTGACTTTTTAAAAAGAAAAAATAATTATTTGAAAAACTTTAAATTACATATTTGAGAAAGAAAAAAAATCAAATATTAGCATATTTTATAATCTTTTTTAAATTTTAGTTATGTTTTTTATTCATTTAGTATAGACAAAACGTGTCAAACGTCGAGAAAATAAGCAAATGCTTTTACATTTTAAAAAACAAAACATTCCAAAATATTTTTAAATAATAACATTTCTACATTAATGATTTAAAGTAGTTTTGCGGTAATTAAGTAAATTGGTGCATATATATATGTATATATATATACATATACATATATATATATATATATATATATATATATATATATATATATATATATATATATATATATATATATATATATATATATATATATATATATATATTAGGGTGGGTCAAAAAAATTTTTTTTCTTGTTACAGGCTCTAAACATTGCTAATAGTTATTAATATTGATACTATCAAATTTGAGAATGATTGTGATAGATTTAAAGGGCGCAACTTTATTGGGAAAATTACCGGTACCCTAATATTTTGGGGAAAAAAAGTTTTTCAAAAGTAGGTCAACCTGGTACTCAAAAGAAGGGAAATTTTATAAAAAATTCGAAAATAATCGTTTTATAAAAATCATATTGCCGAAAGTTTTTTTAAATAAAAAACATGTAAAATTGCACCTTTTTCACTTTTAGTTAAAAAAAACTATAGTTATGATGCAATAAAATCTAAAATAATAATTTTTATATGAAAAAATTATTATTTTTAAAATTTTTATAAAATTTCGCTATATTTGAGTACCTACATCACATAATTTTGAAAAACATTTTTTTTAAATAATAATAGGGCCTGCTATTTTTTTAATTATAGTTGCGGGTGGAAGACATTGTTCAATCCATAAAAGTAAATACTTTCCTAAATTAGTACATAAAAAACAATTTTCAAGACTATAGCCAGGTTAACAACTCTAAAAAAATTTTTATGACCCACCCTAATATATATATATATATATATATATATATATATATATATATATATATAAATTAGTGAAGAACCCAGACGTGTTTTAGTACCATTTTACAGGTATGGGCGTCCAAAAATTATTTTGATTTTTAATATTTTTTTTTGATTTTTTATGAAAAAAAGTAAAAAAAATTTAGTTTTAAATGCAGTAGTATATAGATAATTATCAGTTTATATGAATGAACTATTGATCTTTAGCTTGCTATTTTAGTTTACTTGAGGAAAAGAAAAAAACAAAGTATAAACTTTTTCAGACAGTTTTTTTTCCTTTCAATATTCTTTTTCAAACAATAAAAAAAAGGTTTCAATAACTTAATAAAAGTTTTATTTAGATCTATTTAAAATAATCCATAGTAAATTTATTTATTTAAATTTAATTTTTTAAATTATTCTTATTAATTAAAAATACATATATTTTATTAAATATATGTTTTTAAAAATATATGGTTTTTAATCAAAATAATAGAATATTTTTAAAATTATGTTTCTGTAATTATTTCTTTAACTATCTTTATTTTAAAAGGCGCATTAAAATCACTTTAAAAATTATAACCTTTGGTAAAAGTTAAATGAACAGATTTACTAATATTTAAATCAAAATTTTAAATTTAAAATGATAAAAACTAAGTTTATTAAAACGTTTTTATTTGAATAGTTTATTAAATATGTTTATCAAATGCTTATCAAATTTGTTTATTAAATACTTATGTTTTTAATTCAAATACAAGACGTTAAACTGTTTTGTTGATTTTACAAATATTACGAGATATAATATATGTAAATATATTATGTAGTGTAAATATTGATTAAAAATTGTTTAAAAATTTTTTAATTAATATTTTAAATTAAATTTACTAAAATATAGTTAATAACTGTTTAAAATACTATAAACAATTTTCAATAATTATTTACTGATAGCGTGGTATATGCAACAAAAGCGTGTATTAAAAAAAAGTAAAATAGTTTTCTTTTAGCTAAAGTAACATCGTCCACCAGTAAATTCATGTATTCAAAAAATGCCTTTAAATCAACACCTTATTATAGGATAAAACTGAACAAGATATACCATAAATGATTATTAAGAAAATGATGATCAAAAATTATAGTTGCGGCACTCGTTTAACTGGAGGAGAATGAGGGGGAGGGGGAAATCAAAAACATAATTACCCCCCCCCCTCAACGTTGCTGAAAAAAAAAAACGGTATCCCAAATAAACTCTGAGTTCTTCACTGTAAATATATATATATATATATATATATATATATATATATATATATATATATATATATATATATATATATATATATAGGCTTGGCCAGCAAGGCGTGCGATTTTAAGTATTTATATGACTATGCAAATAATATTTTGTTTAAACCACTGTTTTTAACAAATGTGCTGAAAAAATTGGCTTTTAATTATGTTGAGAACAAATAACTTCGAAACGTTTATCTTAACTAACATTTATATTTTAGCAAAACGCAAAAAATATCATTGAAATTTGTAAATTTTTTATTTACATAATTAATATTTAATTTAATGCTGCTGTTGCCCATTTGTGAGCGTTTACACAGACTTTTTTTACCATTTATCATAAATAGGATTTAGCATGCTTTATCTCTTAATACTGTTGAACTCGCGCGATGAGGTACTCTTAAATCTTAATAATATGTTAATATTTACTTAATCAGTGATAATATCAAAAACTTTGCTTCATCAGCTTAATTAGTGATAAGATGGACAATTTTTATTTGATAACTCCTGTAGTAAAGGATGAACCTTATGTTATTTTTGGAAATAGTAAAGTAACTTTAAAAGTCAGGAGATTTATTTAATTCATGCATTGTAATAATAATACAATTCAAGTCCACTGTCAATTGCATTTAAAGTATATTAATCTATAATTTTTAAATTAGAAGACGATGATGACTCTAGAAAACGTTGCTCTTTTCAAAGGTCAAGAGGTCAAACTCCTGATAAAATTAGTGTTAATTTACAAAATATTTGCATCTCACACAGTCAAATATGTGTTAAAGAACAAGATCGTTTAATACCTTACTTTAAAGAAGTTAAAAAAAATTGATTTGCTTTTATATAAAAAACCAGACCGTTTGGTTTGCAAGTTGTTAAACATTTATTATAAGGTATGTCATTAAATATTACAAAAATAAGATTGTATTTGTAAAGTTTCTAATTTATATATTTTTCTTAATTTTTATATTTTATTTATATTTGTGTGTTATTATGTTTTTATATGTGTTGAGGTTATATGGGTTTATAATTTGTAAATATGTAAAAATATCTTTTAATAAAAGATATTTTTAATAAAGAATATAAAAGTTTTATATATGAGTGTTTCTATCTTTGTGATATAATGTTATTTGTTTATAGTTCTTAAGTGGTTATTATGTTGTTTGCATGGTTTCAAACTGTTGTGACTTGGCTTGGTTTACAGCAAGTGTTGACCTTGGTGGCCAGGTGGTGTAATTTGCTATATTGTGACTTGGCTTTGTTGAGAGCAAGATTATTGTTCGTGCCAGTTAAGTGGAGTATTGTCATGATGAAACACATAAATCAAATCTGTTTGTAGTTAGTGTAGTCATAAAAAGTGTTTAAAAAATATTGTTGAAAAAATGCGTTTATAAGAAATATTGAAAAGATTTATATTTTTTTAACATCTAAAATTTTTTTAATATTTATAATTTTAAGTAAATTTTATTAACAGATTTCATTAAATATTTTTTATACTGTTACTTTTCTTCACTTGAAGTAAATATGATTGTTTATAGAGGTTTTCTATTATTAGTTTTATTTTTACTTATTAATCGCAAATCTTGCATTAAATCTGTTTCAAAATAATGACAGGGATTTTTTGATGAAGGATAGCATTTCACTATTTAATGCTAGCAGTATTTGATGAGCAGACAGCACTTATAATTTTCTCAATTTGCTTTACTTATGAGTTCTTATCTGTAAAAATTTTGTAACTTTTATTAATTACTTTTTATTATTTTTTTGATCAAATAATATTTTATCTTTATTTTATTTTGAACTAATAATATTTTATCAATAATTATTAATAACTACATTAAACATATAACATTAAAGTTATAATATAAAATGATTATATAAATATAAAGATTATATCAATTTATTTATAACTTTAATTTAAGTTCTTGTTAGAAACACATTATCTTTACAGATTGCTATTGTATTTTAAAACATCAAATTTAAATATGACTAATAGTAGTTGTAGAATATAATTAGATTATTATATTATACTGTTTTATTTGCTTACACTTTATTTATAATAAAAAAATAAAAAAGAAAACTCAAAGTTCAAATTTGAAATAAAAGTGCAACTTTTATGACGAAATTGCACGCTTTCCTGGCCAAGCCTCTATGTATGTATGTATGTATGTATGTATGTATGTATGTATGTATGTATGTATGTATGTATGTATGTATGTGTGTGATATATATATATATATATATATATATATATATATATATATATATATATATATATATATATATATCCTCTATTTGTTTATTAGTTTCTTTTAAAAAAAAAAGACAATGTTTTACTGTCCTCAAACTAGACTTCTTCGTTTGAAATTTATCACCAGCGCACCAAAAAGTGCTGGTGTGTGCAATTTTGAAGAACATTTTTTTTTGTACCTCAAACTGCGAGCGCAAAAGCGTTCACTAAACAGAGAAGACTGTATACATACATATCAAAGTATTATTTTTGGCATTTAAATGATTCTTGGTTTCAAGAAAGGTTTTTTGATTTAAAATAAAGTTTTTTGATAAACTAGAAGTACATTTTTACACATGTTTAAAGCCCTCAAAAAGGTAATATCAAATAGGCTTTGATACTTTTACTCACTTTTACATGTTTAAATTTTATCTTACAACATTAAACATAGTTCAATGATTTTCATAGAAATAACTTACTAAAAAAAAAAAAAAATTTTTTTAAAAGACAAATATACACACACAAAAAGTTGATTGAAAAAACAGCTGGTCACCTGACAAGCTTTCTTTTCCCTTTTTTTTCTGAAGAACAAGCATTACTTTCCAAAATAAACTCTTCATCAGTTGCTTCATCATCCAAATAAGCTGCTAAATCAAACAAACGTTCCAGTTTCTCTGTTTTTATGTTTTCAAAATTATTAAATTTTAAAATTGACTTTTCTGAATCAGAACATTGCACTTTTGTATTTTTAATTTCACATGCAACATGTGAACTGATATTTCTCATTTGAAGTTTACGCACACGATCATATAAACTGTTAATGTTACTGTTTAATTCAATAAATTTTGACTGTACCTTTTCTTGATAATTTTTAATATGACTATAAAGAACATCATTTGGATTAGCGATTGGCTGAGGTGGTCTCTGAACTTCTGACACATTATTTTGTGTTGCATCTGCTTTTGATACTAAACCAGAGTCATCAATCAACTCTGATGAGTTAACATGCGAACTTTTGATTATTTCAACATCTCTTTTAGAGTCTGTATTATTTTTTTTATTAATGCTAACATTTACTACACTTGTGGTTGCTTGTGAATAAACTGGAACGGACATTTCTAACATAAGCTTGATTATTATAAAATAAATCTCTGCAATATTGTAGCAATCCGACCAAATAATTTTTTTTTTGTTGACTGAATGATTAGAATGATAAATTGTATTGATTGCTATGTAAAATTCTACAATATTATTTGTTATTTCTTGGTAATTTTTACTTGAGGAGTTTGTCTCCGTTAATTTTTTATGATTACCTAATTCGTGCGCCATTAAAATTACAAGCCATTCACAAAGCAACAACTTTCAAGCAACGTGATGATAAAGCCATTACACTCAGCGGTTCGAGTCTTCACTTTATCTCCTTGTTGCTGAACAATTAAACTCAAACGAAGCTTGTAAAGGTTATACTTCACTCAGTCGACCGAAAATATGAAAAATCGCAAATAATTTTAACTTCAATAATAACAACTATAATATATTCAAAACTGTTTTTCTCTTTAAAGACTGTTTCTAATGCATAACACGAAGCCTTTTCTTATGGAGACAACGATGCACCCCGACAAAAGTGTCAGATGACCGCGACATTCTATTGCGCATGTGCACTAGTACCCATTCCGCATAAGTTAAAATGGTGTTCGATAACTAGTTTTTCCAATATCCATGCAATAAAAATTGCACATTTGTAGACGTGCTTGAGCCAATAAAACTTGCATCCATAAGTATCAAAAAATCAAGCGATTTTTTAAAAATAAAATTCCAATTCTCATTAGATCGTTAAAATAATTTCTAGTGGCTAAAACAATTAAAATGAGCACCTTTTTAAATGATCACATTTAAAATATAAATTTTTAAAGATAATAAAATCAATGATAAAAATTCGAAGCTAATATTAAATAAAGTTCAGCTAAACATGGGACAAACAGTTTTTTTTTTTTTTTTTAAATCAAACTGATTTCTCAAAAATTTTAAACTGCTCTTGATAATAGAAAATTTTTAAATATACTTTTTAAAGTCTTCCTTGCCTCAAAGAAAAAAAAATGTATTTATGAATATTCTCTCCCTCTGTTTCAGGATTTTTGTTAATATGATATAAACTTCATTAAGTTTATCAGAATAGCAATTTAAACATAACAAAAAAATCGGTTTCAGGGCTGACAATTTTTTGATTCTAAAAGAAAACAAAAACTTGTTTAATAAATTTTACTATAACTATACAAATCTACTATTTAATATGAACAGAAAGACATTAAAAATATGGTTTGTTTATATAAAATAAAGTGGTTTAAATCTTATTATTTAGAAATAATTTTTTTATTTATTAATAATAACAAAAAAGTGTATAGGAACAAAAAAAAATTATTTTTGTTATAGCAATTTTTTTTCACTATACTATCATGTTTTAAGATATCATTTGAATATTTATCCTGCTCATGACATTTAATTATAAAAAACCTTTTAGCAATGTTGGAAGCATTTAACCTATATAAAACTCTTATATTCATATAGGGTAAAAGTATGAGCTTGCAAACCTTGGGCGGAATTCTTTCTAGTAATAATATCACCAAAAAAAAACTTAATCAAGTATGCAAAACAAGTTATTGCCAATAAGGTTGCCAGATGTTCAGCTTTTATGAAGAAAAACAGTTATAATTTTTATAGGTTTGGCTCTGTATTCTCTAACATAAAAGCCAGATATCTAAGTAAGGGCATCCATAAACATAAATATATACATATATATGTTTATAGATGCCAATATATATATATATATATATATATATATATATATATATATATATATATATATATATATATATATATATATATATATATAGTAGAAAATAAAACTACGTGATTTTCACAACTTTAAGTTTCATGCTGTTGCAATCATCAGGTGAAATACAAATACCAAATAAATATTTAACATATATATATATATATATATATATATATATATATATATATATATATATATATATACATATATATGTTTATAGATGCCAATATATATATATATATATATATATATATATATATATATATATATATATATATATATATATATATGTTTATAGATGCCAATATATATATATATATATATATATATATATATATATATATATATATATATATATATATATATATATATATATATATATATATATATGTTTGTTTGACGAGATAAAGTAAAAAATAACTATGTTTACTTCTAAAAGTTTTATGTGTTAGCAGAATACTTTTTTATAAATAAATTTTATCTCATCAAACAATCATATAAAGCTCTGATATCGTTCATTGAGCACTCTTGCTGAAGAAATGCAGATAATAAAATAATTTAACTTATATAAATATTTAACATATATATATATATATATATATATATATATATATATATATATATATATATATATATATATATATATATATATATATATATATATATATATATATATACATACATATATTTGAGCAATTTTAAATTGATGAATCTTAAAATAATCTTAAAATAAAATAATTACCTTCATGCAAAATTAGATAAAAAATGTTTTATTAAAAAAGAATGTTATTATAAAACATTAACTGGAACTTTATTCATAGAAGAATTAGGAACAAGAAAAAAAAGCCAATCAAGGGAAAAAATAACATTAGAAGTAGAAGTTTGCAAATGTTATCACAAAATTTCTTACTGTGTTAAACAATTGATTTTTGAATGTCACAAGTTACCTTAGTATTGTGGGTGAAGGAGTGTTTATGAATTTCCACATTAGTACTAATTTTATAGAAATTTATTGTTTAAGGTTTCGCTTTCGTTACCCAGTTTAAACTGTTTGTGTCTTCTTAGTTTTTTAAATAAAAATATCACCAAATTTCTACGCATTTAGTTTATGAAAAACTTATTTTGAGAATAGACACCAAGTTTGGCCTTATCATTATTTTGTCTTAAATTTAAAATTAGTGCTTTATCTTTTGGATAGAAGACTTTTTTCTTTAGGATTTTTGTTTATTCATTTTGTTGCAACAACGTTAACCATAATTAACACGATCTAATACATGATCTTATACATAATATATATATATATATATATATATATATATATATATATATATATATATATATATATATATATATATATATATATATATATATATATATATATATATATATATATATTCTCTCTTAATTTACTTTTACTACTCGACTCTCGCTATCTTAAGTATTTAAAAAAAATTAGAAGTTAGAAATAGCTTTCAATAGAGAACGTTCAGCCGTCAATTAATTATCGTTCTTTTAAACTGAGAGAGCATTTAGGAATCGTTAAATCAGCATACGGTTTACAGAATACGGTTTCCCGTATTATTTTCTATAACCATAATCATAAATTACTGTTATTATAACTATGCTATAACTTAATAACTTAACATTTTAAGTCTGATGACGTTCACATTAAAATACCATTTAAATAAAATTAGTTAGTACGCTGCTTATTATTTAATACTTTAAAAGTTAATACTAATAACTAGATACCGTATCTTTAAAGTTTGATAGAAATATAAATATAAGCAGCGGAGTAGCTACATATTAGCGCTTGAAGGTGATCGGTACTTGAAAAATGTATAAGTTTTTGGTAATCGTATGGGCTCGGAAAAGTAAATTATTTAAAACATGGGTATATTGCAAGTCAGTAATCACATTTAGTTCTTGCTGACTTGCAATATCTGTTTTTAAACCAGTTTTTCATCAAAAGTAAATAAGTAATGTCGGTTTGATTCTTCGTGTTTTTCAATTTTCTTGTTAAATGCTGGGTTGTTAGTCCTTGGCCTTGGCTGGCCTTTAGGCAAAAAATTAAGACCTTGGCCTTGAACATTTTGGCCTTGGTCTCGAGCGATTTAGCCTTGGCCTTCAACCTTTTTTTATTGATTTCAGAACTTTCTTTCGTGTTTACTTTATTAAAATTGTACTACAGTTTATTTTGTTTACAAGAGTTATTTTTGTTTACTCAAAAGTTTTAGAACCTAATTTTTTGTTTTAGGTCACGGCGTAAAACGCCATTTTGGATTAACCATTTTGAAACAACAATGACATTATTGATTAACGGGAATTTAATACATCCACACTCTCGATGTATTTAAGGAAAGTTTTTTTTTATCTTTTCTTGTAGATTTAAACATTTTTCTCGCCATCGCGTAAGAACAAAAGAAATTTTTCGATTTATGTCCCAGCCAACATTGACATATGGGTACCGTACGGGGCCCATACGGGTCGCCGACTGGGTCCCGTATGGGAAGACCAACGGTATCCCGCCGGATCATGACCGCGGTTTCCATATGGGACCCATATGGGTTAGCCCGCCGGGTATCCCGTATGGGTCCCAGTCAAATCCCGTACTTTAAAACCGTAAGGGACCCATTTGAGCTTGCAAATGGGACCCATATGGGAAACCCATCGGGAACCCGCCGGATCATGGCCGCGGTTTTCTTCTGGGGCCCATATGGGTATGCCCGCCGGGTATCCCGTGAGGGTCCCACGAGGTTTACCCATTGCAAATCTTGCAAAACTACGTTTAAATGTTTAAAATTTACAAAAAAAGCAAATTTATATATAAATTGATTGGTTTATTTCAAAAAAAAAAAATAGTAATTAAAATTACACTGTCAAAATTAAGCAAACTTTTGAACGATTCTTTAATCATGTATCAAATGCTTTCACGTTTATCTTGGGAATCGGAAGCTTTTCCATTGTTGTTAAAACGACTTCTTTGAAAACCTCTTTACACAATATCTTGTTTCGATATGAACTATAAAAAATTAAGTTTAACTGTTAGTTTTAAATTTTATTGGTAACACTTACATTAATTTTAATATGTTATAAAACTCTTACAATTTCTCCCAACTCTCTTCAGATAAAAAATGTAATTTTCACCATCAAAGGTACTTGTAATAGATAAGCACATGGTTATGATTCATATAATAAATTGATAACATTCCTTTAGTTACTGATAAATAAATTATATAAAATTATTAAATAATATAAAATTTTTTATTTATATTGTATATAATTTGAGATATATTTTGTAAACCTTATATACAGTGCCATGGCTACTAGATACAAGCCCCCCATTCCAAAAAAAAGCCTGTCATAAGGGCCCCAAAATTCCTAAAAACTAAATAAAAATCTAAATAAAAATCCTAAAAAAAAAAAAATCCTTACATTTGTAAAAGGGCCCCTAAATTTGCAAATGACCCCCCTAGACAAACATTTTTTAATTGAACTGAAAAAGTTTTGTATTTGAAAGAGGGACATTAAAATTTAAATTTAAAAAGTACCTAAAATTTAACTGTATTATTTCCTATATGTGCTAATGAATGGACATTGTACACTAGTTGATCCTTACGATAAAGTTCACATATAAAAATAAGTAGCTGAAAAGCAAAATTAACATATTTTTTCAACAAAATGAAACATTATGAAAGTAGAACTACAACTGAAAAATCTAAAAAATTGAATAGATTTTTGGCTAAACCATTCCCTTTAAACAACTGGTCAAGTGTTTACTATAAAAAGTCTAAGCTCAGTTGTTTTCCATTTTTTAATATCTAATTAAGACCTTGATTTTCTAGAAAAATTTTTTGGAATGTAATGACGTATCTGGAGCAATCCGTCAGATAAAGTATTGACTGTAATCTGAGACAATTTATAACATTTGGGCAATTTAACCATAAGTTGAGAAATCTTCGCATTACC